TCAATGAGGTAAGCCCTGCTAACTATCTGTACTTACTATATTTTGTCAAATAAATGCATTTCCGTCATCTTAAAATTATATTGACTTTGTTGACTGTATTTTATTTGCAACTTTTAGTTACTCTGTACCCGCAAGTGATTCTGATACCAGCTCGGACGTTGGGTATGATCCTGCTAGATCTCAACTAACTAATAAACCAGAAGAATATGAGCCTAGATATGTTCCTTCTCACACTAGTCATCAGGTATGATCCATTTTTTCGATTTTCAGCGTGCTTCGCCAATATCTAATTTTCACTCGTCCCGTGTTAATGATTCCCCCGAGTATGAAATTGGCCCTCCCGATAGAGATGAATATTTAGAAACCAATTATAATCCAATGATTTCTCCCGAAAATCACGATGGAGTTGAAAATGGCATTGAACCATATTCTCCAAGAGAATCAGTAAAGATGGCATCTAAGTACCACGGCTGTTATGCCATTGGTGGATCATCCCCTAGCTCCTCAAAGGGATCTAGAAATGCATCCAAACGAAAATCCCGTCAACCTGAGGCTTATTCACCCAAGAGTGTCTCTAGAGCCGTTGATTCCGATGATGAAGTATCAGATCGTCCAGAACCTTATTCCCCCTCAGACATAGTCAGTGTTTCCCGGCAGTACTCACCTCCTTATGAATTTGCGGAGGCTACTGAAGTCGATGCTTCACATTTCCAGGCTAACGATATATTACTTGATAAAGAAAATGCAGATGAATATACCTACCATGGAGTAGAGCGACCTTTGGAGAGGCGGCTTACTCCCTCTGAATCTCATGAATCACCACATAAATCGCTGGATATCGGTCAAATATTCGGTGATGACGAGGAGGAACATGAAAAAAATGTAGGGAAAAATATCACTCCATCAAAAAAAGAATCTACTGACATTCTGGGTGATTATGAGAATGTTGAAAGAGCCGATGACTTTGAAGGATTTGAAAGGGATGAACAAACAGACGATCCGACGCATGGTATTATCGCTGACATATTTGGTGAAAGTGATGCGGAAGAGGAGTTTGAGGGGTTTGCTGAGAATGAGGTGGAGAAGGGTACCGATAGATTAGCTGCTCCAACATCTAACTATGCTCCTATATCAAGTAGAGAAGAAGAGGAATCCGAGGGCGAGGCTGTGGAATTTGTATCCGACTTTGATTCTATGATGCAGGTTCATCGTGAAGAAGCTCGCCGAAAGCGTCGACGCAACAAGGATGTGGAATTCCTTAATGATAGTGATGATATGATCTTGGATATGATAGCTCGCATGAAAAATGCTGCTGAAGAAGATCGACTTTTGCTTGCTGCCGGACATCCAGCCACTAAAAAGTTGACAATGGTAAATAGTGTTACGGATTTGCTGAAAAAAGCTGATCTTAAATCAGCCTTGATTGAAAATGGAATCTTAAGTGCAATCACCGAGTGGCTGGCGCCCCTTCCTGGACAAACCCTCCCTAACCTTGTTGTCCGTGATGCTATGCTCACTCATCTCTCTGAATTTCAGCATTTGACTCCAGATATTCTTCGAGAGTCTGGGATTGGTAAAGCTGTTATGTACTTATATAAGCACCCGAGAGAGACTCGGGCCAATAAGTCAAAAGCCAGTCGTCTTATTAGTGAGTATCTTGCTTATTTTATCTGTATATTTTTATCGCATTTAAAATATACACTAATTTTGAACTTCTTCTTATTAAGACGAATGGTCTCGACCGATATTTAATCTCACCAGTGACTTCCGTTCCTTATCAAAAGAAGAACGAAAACAACTTGACTACGAACACTTACCAAAGCGTCGTAATATCGAGTATGTTTGTTATCCAAGTATACTCAATATTGAACTCAGAATATATTCTTAATTATATCTAAACTTATATTTAAATTTGACAATCTACTCATAATTCATTTCTTTTTGGTAAAACTGAAGTAATGAATCTTTGGAACGGAGAGATATTAATCGTGAACTGGAGTCAGAAAAAGGGTAAATCTTCTATTTTTAATCTTATTTATTTTTATCTTATTTACCTACGACCGAATGAATTTTATAATCAGTCAATTCTAATTAGAAGAGATATATACATATATATCCATCTGTTAACCTTTCCCATTGTAAATTTAACTTTTGCTTTTACTTCTTATTTGTTTTACGTTCTACGATTATCACGTCCGACGATAGCAAAACTAATAGCATAAAATTTTATCTCTTATTCTGTCCAGATGTGTCTCTTAGATCTTCTTAGAATTGCTATCATAG